CTGGACGACTGGTGGCTGCCATGCCAGCTCTCCGGGCCCGGCTGAGACACGCCCCTTTCTCCCCTAGGCAGCTGGACTTGGACCATGCCAAGCCCCCTTCCCCTTGAGTGGCTGCATCGGGGCTGGCTGCTTCCGACTCCTGTGGGCTCTGCTTGGTCTGCCCAGGGCCACCAGCCACATCTGGCCTGTGGGCAGACTGTGTATTGCCCATCCAGCAGGCCGGGGAAAAAAGGTTGAGCGCTGAAGCAGCAGCCCAAAAAATGCAGCTGGGCATCTGGGGAGACTGCAGGAGTGGGGGGTAACAGCAATTTCCAGTTGCTGCTGCAATAGCAATTGCAGCTGCAGCAAAAGCCTTGTTTTTTGCCCCTCACACCTGTAGACCCCAAGGGCAGTTGTCCCTAGTTAGGCCATTGGCTAGGAGTGTCAAACATACGGCCCATGGGCTGGATGTGGCCCACGCTGATCAACAGTCATCTGGCCTGTGGTGCTTCTTTACAGCTTAACAACCCCGATCCAAATGTGGCCCACCAGACTTCCAGAGCCCCTCTGCCAACATGGTCAGCACCCAGGGAGTTAACACCACTGAGCCACTGGCTCAGCATTGAATTTCTCGTTTGCCATTGCAATTTAGCATACAAATAGGAGGCAGGGTGGCCAGTGGCAGCACCATTAACCCCCCATGTACTGGCCATGCCAACACAGCAGCTCTGGCAGTTGTGGCAAGCCCTTCAGTCTGGATTCAGTTAATTTTAATTTGACATCCTTGATCTAAACTATTCATAAAACTGCATGAAGAACCCTCACACAACCACCAGGTCCAATAACCAAAAACATCCAAAGCATCTTAACTTGCCAGAGGTAAAACAAGGGGACAAGAGCACTGCCAATGACCTGCCACTGCTGTTTGCTAAAATATACTTGAGAGATTCAAGGAAAAGGATTATGCCCTCTGTTGCAAAGATAGCAAAAACTCCCACAGTCCCTGCCAATCTGACAAGGGGTAAAATCTGACCTTGAGTGGAGGAGCAAGTCCCTCTAACCAGGAATATTTGCGGGGGGGGGAGAATTGTCTAGCGGGAGCATTGGCACGCCCCAGTCAAAATCTCCAGCTTTGGCTGCAGCCAACCCCCCAATGCTTCTGAAGAAAGTAGAAACAACTCCTGACATCTGTCAAAACAGAAGGGGGGGGGGAATCCTTCCTGACCCCAAGTTGCAAGCAGCAAAGACTAGAAGCCTGGGAAAACCACAAAACCCTCTACTCTGCACTGCAACCTGGGGACAGCAAACATAACTCCACACATCACACCCCCTCACTGGATGGCCAGAGCTCCCTTTTCTGCATCTCCTCCATAAACTTATCCCAGCTGCTTAAATCTTCTTTCATAACTAAGCCAGTTGTGGAGCTCTGCTTCAATCCCTTGCTGCTGAATACAGTCCTTTCCAATATCTATTTGCTTTGGGTTTCAGAGCTCTTCTTTTGATCTTCCAAGGATCTGTGTGGGTGGGAGCTAGAGGGGGTGGGAGGGAAGTGGGACTCCTGACCTTTCAACTGTTGCTCTTCACAACTCACTCCAGGCATTACTACTTCTAGATCATCCCTGACCAAAGCTTATCTAATGTCTTCTTAAAAACTTTCAAAAGGACATTCCATGACTTCCCTAGGCAGTCTATTTCACTGCCTCACTTTTCTAGCAGTGAAGAATGTATCCAATGTAAACCTACTTTGCTGCAATTTTTAGCCCATTGTTACATATTACACAGACTTTGAAGCAAGGCAGAAAATGTGTTCTCCCTGTTCTTTATTGCAGCCCTTCAGAAATGTGAAGACTGCTATCATGTCCCTTCTTAACTCCCTTTTCTGAAACCTGAACATGCTTAATTCTCTTAATCTCTCCTTATATGGTTTGTCTTCCAAACCCTTCATCATTTTTGCCACTGCCATTCGACCCTCTCTAACTTCTCCATGTCCTTTTTTAAATGTGGAATCCAGAACTGCACACAGTACTCTGGATGGGTCCTAACCAGTGCCAAGTGAAGTGGCACTATCACCTCCCATGTCTTATACTTAATACCCTTGTTGATGCAGCTGAACGCTGCATTTGCCTTTTTGCTGATGCATTACATTAGACTCATGTTGAATCTGTGATCTACCAGGATCCCAAGATCTTTTTCCAAAGTGCAGCCATCAAGCCAGTTGTCACCATTTGTGTATTGAATATTTTATAAATCTTCCTGTGGTGTAATACCATGCATTTGCATCCTGTTGACTCTAGCCCAGTGTTCCAATCTGTCAAGATCCATCTGAATTGTGCTCCTTCCCTCCAGCGTGTTTGCAGTCCTTCCCTGCATGATTCATGTTATCTGCAGATTTGTTCAGGGAGCTCTCTATTCTAGTATCTAAATGGTTAATAAACATGTTGAAGAGCACTGGAGCCAGGACAGATCCCTTTGGAACTCCACTCAAAACCTCCTGCCATTTCATCATAGATCCATTTATAATTAGCTTTCGCTAGTGGCTATTGAGCCAGTTGTCTATCCACCGTGTAGTATTGTCTAGCACACACTTCTTCAATTTGCTTAGAAGGTCATGTGGGACTTTCTCAAAAGCATCACTGAAGTCCAAGTACATTATATCCACTGCGTTCCCTTCAGCCACCCACCTTATTTTGTCAGAGAAGAAGACCATATTTGTTTGGCACAGCTTGTTCTTAGCAAATCCATGCTGGCTGCTTGTGATCAGCCTTTCCTCTTGCAGATGCTTAAAAACGGACTTACTTATAATCTGCTCCAACATATTCCTGTCAGGCTAACTGGTCTATTATTCCCTGGGTGCTCCTTGTTTTGTTTTGTTGGGTTTTTTAAAGAGGGGCACTATATTGGCCCTTTTCCAGTTCTCTGGTACCTCACATGTCTCCCCACAACTTGGTAAATATTATTGCCAAGGGCTCTGAGGTCTCTTCTGTCAGTTCCTTTAATATCCTAAGCTGAAGTTTCTCAGGTCTTCCTGACCTGAGTTGGTTCAAACACATAGGGGCTGCAGGTGGGTGCACATGTATCCCCTGAGCATGGTGGTGCATCCCTTGCAAAAAGACACCATCAACACTGTTGGTGGCACCTGTGGGTGGTTGCCACTCGCCACCCCACTGACGGTATCTGCCGACAGTCCACAATTGCTGCTGGCTGCTGCTGCTGGTAATGCCTCCCAGCTTACCATCACCAGGCTCCCGCCGCTACCAGTGCAGTCTTGCCCGCCCAGCTACCAGGAGCAAACACCATTTATGGTTCAAACCAATCAAAAACTCTCTGATGGTCTGTTTTACTATCTTGCCCCTCAACCTGTCCCCTTCCTTATCCAAATAATCCTTACTGGCTATCTGACTGCAGCTTAATTTTTTATGAAGATTAATGCAAATTAGCTGTTGAATAACTCCATCTTCCTTGCATCTTCTGGTAAGAACTCATCTTGATTGTTTAACAGTGGACCCACAGCTTCCTTGATTCTTACTTTTCTGACTAGCATATTTACAGATCCTCTTCTTTTTGTCCTTAACTTCCCTTGACAAGTGTAGCTCATTATTTACTTTTGCTTCTCTGATTTTGTCCCTGAAAGTTCTTGCTATTTCCTGGATGCACCCTCAGTGGCCTTCCAATCCTTCCATTGTTTGTATGTTTTCCCTTCAATTTCCCTTCAATTTTCAGGCATCCTAAAGGTTCCTTGTGCAGCCGCATTGATTTCTTGCCATTCTTCTTGTGCTTTCATTGTGTTGAATAGCTTCTTGTTCAGCTTCTAATATGGTCCGTGTAGTAGTTGCCAGCCCTCCTTTCTTTCAGTCTGTCCTCACACGGCACCTATTTTTCTTTAAATGGTTTAAATCTGCCCTTTTAAAACCAATGTCTTAATTCTGCTTACCTCAGATGCTCAGGATCATGAATTCTATCATATCATGATTACTTCCTCCCTAATTTCCCATCACTGTCACATGCTCAACCAATTTTTCCTTGTTGGTAAGGACAAAATCCAAAACAGATGATCCCCTCGTCACATCCTCAGTTTTCTGGAACATAAAGGAGCTGTCCTCCACACCAGTTAGGAACTTGTTTGTCATTTTATATTTGGCTGTGTTGTTCTTCCAGTAGATAGCTAGGAAACTGAAGTCCCCCATCAGTACCATCTCATAACTTTTGGATAACGTTGTCATCTCTTTGAAGAATGCCTCATCCACCTCTTCTTCCTGACTTGGCAGTGTATAACAAATCCTCACCATAACACTTTTCCCTTTTATTGTCACTCAGTTATAGTCAGATCTGCTGTCTTCTTCCTGAAACAGGGAACACACA